ATGCCCCACTCACCTAAATTTTTCCAATATAGCAGTTTACTAACACGGTTTGCAATCCTTAATAACAAGGTACTTGTGTTTCAATGTGCTTTTAACACAACCAATGCAAATCAATTGGCACTACATTGCATTCTCTATCATCCCACATAGAATTCCAGTTCAACAACTCTAAGTGTCCACTTCACCTACCAAATCCATAAATTCTAGACCTTTAGCATTTTCAAAATATCCATAGGTTTTCTATGTCTATCTTAGTTTCTATGTTGAACTACCAATCCAAATAGCAATTTCATTTCTTCTAATATTCAAGGTAGTTGAATTTCCTCACCTTGGCAGCTTTACTAAGCTCTTCCAACTCCAAAATCCCAACAGCTCAAGGGAGAGATAATTGAGCTATAAGCATAAACATTTCCCACTTATAAACCAATTAAATCATAGTCTAAATTATTAGGAAACTCAACCTTACCTAAAATGTTATTTTTCCAATCTCCAAACGCTTCAAACAAACTTCAATCCCCAAGAGGGTCTTAGGGTTCCAAGGGCAAAGCACTCTCCATTTGTTTTCTAACTTTCTAAATGGGCAGAATGCCCAAAGCCCCGTTTTATTTTTTCTAACTTACAGTGGATGTATCAATACATTTGCAAATGTATCAATACATTTTCACAAATTTCTGTTGAATCTATCAATACATGTATAAATATATCAATATACTTTAAACAGAATGGTCTGTACCTCAAATGTATCAATAGATTAAGGGAATCTATCGATATATTTTTCACAGAATGTCTCCCCTTCAAAATCTATCAATACATTTCATAAATGTATCAATAGAAATTTAACAAAATGTCTCCTAGTTTGAATCTATTGATACATCCTTGAATGTCTTAATAGAAATTTTGCAAAATGCTTCCTAGACTCATTTCTATCAAAAATATATAGATACATTAAGATATTTATCGATACATTTCCTCCAAAATGCAAATTTCTAGCATTTCTAGCTACCTAACTCTAACCCAAAACTTACAAAATCATTTCCTACTTCAACATTTATCTCAATACAATTGGTTTTGCACCACATTAACCAATATTCAATGTCAAAACATATAAACACATAGCTCAAAGTCTTAAACCTCATTGCAAACATAATATTTCATGATCAAAATACTTGAGAAGTCCCTATTCTAGAGTGTTTTCTTCAATTTAGTCCATTTACTTAAAATCACAACATTTTAGTTTCTTAATTTTGGAATTTACTTCAATTTAGTCTTTTTAACATTTTTCATTTAAATTTACTGTTACAGTGCTAACAAGAGCTCTGACATAGCACCTAATACTGACCTGGCATTTTACCATGTTACACTTTGAGTTCAAGTACTGACGTGGCACTGCTACATTAGCATTAGATCTAGAGGTGTTACATGGCACAACAATAGGTTACCATGTGGCACATTAAGAGGCTGACAAGTGGCATTATTATTATTCAAAATAAGACATGCTCTTATTAAGGTTTGAGCCCAAGACCTCTAGCAAGTATGCTAAAGCCTTTACCACCACATCCAAACCTTCACTAATAATTGTTTTTTGCTTGTTTCTATTTCTTCTTTTTTTCTCTTTTTTTTCTTTTTTTCTTCAAAACTACATCATTTTGAAGTATTTTTACACTTTCAAAAACCCTAGCTATAAAAATGCTTTGAAGCCTTCTTCTCTAAAAAAAGAAGGCTCCAAAATGACATGGTTTTGAAGAAAGAAAGAAAAAAAAATAAGAAAGAAAGAGAGAAAAGGAAAGAAGAAATAAAACACAAGCAAATTACAACTACAAGTAAGAGTTTGGGTGTGGTGGTAAAGGTTTTGACATACCTGCTAGAGGTCTTAGGTTTAGGGATGTCAATGGGTACCTTATTACAAGGTACCCGCGGATGCCCGACTTGGTTATGTAGAGTTTGGATACCTTATAACCCGGTTTGGGATAGGTTTGGGTAGCGATTTCACTACCTGAATCAGGTTCGGGTAGGATTAGGGTACCACACCTTGGGTTGTGTTACTCGAACCCGATTACCATTTATAAATATTTTATTATAATTATAATAATTAAATTAAAAATATACAATTTTTACCAACTTTACAAGTAATTCTTTTTGTTAAAAACT